TTAATGTTAATACCTGTAGTATAAAAGGAGTTCAGTTGTAGTATGTAAAACCGCTGATACTTAAAATGACCTACCTCATATTATCAAGATAAGTATATAAGACATTGTAAGAACAGTTCAATTACATCATTTTGTATAACAATTGATTATATCCTAACAGTGTTTTATGGTAATTGTTGCATGGTTATTCTGCCTTCTGTGAACATTCTTTTATTGCTTTGGCTAGGCATTGCCATGCATTGAATTCTATAGCTGCCTGTCATGCATTGCTTTTTAATAAAGAACATATGAATGATGGGAATCACCTATCTGCAATTTGCTTTACAGAGCTTTTCTCTTCTGAATTGAACTAGAATTGGAAATGAAGTTATGTGTATGTATATGAGGGCAGTACATGACCCCAAACCAGGTGCTACAAATAAAAGGGGCCAAAATAAGCTAGAGTGAATACTAACTCGTATTGTTGCAGTATTTAGATTAGAGATATCACGATCCATACCAGTATAGAAATTAGAAATCAGGAGTTTGTTATGTTGTTACAGTATTCAAGTAGTTATGTATCTAAGCTGAAATGGAGCAGTGCAATATCCCTTCAAGAATTCAACACTATTTATGATTGCATGTAAATAGGCTATGATTTTGACTTGCTGAAAGCCACAGGGGCACCACAGGGGCACTTTCAAAGTGCCCCTATGGTGCCCCTCAGAGTTTTAAGCAACAAAATGTTAGTTTTTTCTTGTGTTTGCTACTTTTAGGAGAAAATCCCAACCAGTATTGTAAGGTGAAATTTCACAGAAACTAAGTGTTGTAATGATGTTATCTGTAAATATGTTTGTCTTTCATGTTATACATGAAAGCCCTTGTCAACTCACACAATAGTGTTGCCAGTCATGTATTAATGTATTTTAGAATTAATCAGAGCTTCTATTTCATTGGTTTGTTGCCAGTTCTTAAAGTGTTTAAGAACACTGAATTTTACTCTGTGTTGATATCAATGATCTTTCTGATATTTAAATCAAATTCATGCTTGTATTCGATCATGCCTTTTTAATATACAGTCATATTTAAAAGTCAGAATTTAATAATGTTTGCAACTTAAAAAAGGAAATTTATTGAATATATTTCGTTTGTGCCCTTTACATATTTATGTCAGTAATTTTTATTGTAAATGATTGAAATTCTTTGGCACTTTTTTTACCATAAAATGTTGGTTTAAAATAACTATTTTGTAAGTTAAAAAAAAAATGGTTTCAAAAGTAACAACAACAGTTGACATGATGTCATTTCAAAGCAAATCATTAAATGTCAAATATTAAATAGACATTTTCCCCATAACAACAAATTACAAGTCGGTTGATATTTTGAGAATGACTTAACTCCAGTGATCTTTTATCCTTTTAGTATCAATCAAACAAGCTATTCAGTGTAAATAGTTGAACTTTTGAAAAAAGTGGGTCAATTGAGTTGGAATCTTGAACTTAAAGTGACAGATCCCCATACATATCAGGCAAACCATTTGATCCTTTCAGTGTATTGTATCAATGTATCTTACAGACTTTCAGAACACTGCCTTTCTCATATTTGTATAAGAAAAATACAACTATGTTAGCTCTGTTCTTATTGTGAGAATCTGTTAAGTAGTACTTATATCGTATACATTTTTATAGTATTCGTTGAATTTACTTTATATCACGTTATGCATGTAGTGGAGTGTGTATAGATATGGGATTGTCAATGAATGAATTACCGTGTATATATATTCATAAAGTGGTGATTTCATTTTCATGGTAGATATTGAATAATGTGGATGAAAATCTTAGCGTTTTTTATACATGTGTCTGAAGAGATTTATAGTTTTGATCATAATTGCGGTATTTTTAATGACAAGGGGAAAATCAAAGGATGGTAGTTGATGTAATGATGTGTTTTGATGGAAACGTTGATTGTTAAGCTAGCTTGTTAGCTAGTTATCATTTCTTCAAAGTAGATGATCATCGTGTATGTACCATTGTTTTATAAGTTATTGTAACATTTTTGTTGTGAACTTTTGTGATCTAGAAAATAAAACAAAACAAGTTTTTGTATAAAAAAACAGAAATGTCAATTTTGTTTGTAAAGGATTCTTTGTTGTACAACATATGCCTCAGTGACAACTGCTTTCCACCCAATACTAGTACCCTACTTTAACCAAATTCTTTGTTTCACCCCAGGACTAAACACTATACCTAACCCTGAGAGTAACCTAAAATAAAATTCTGACCCTTACCCTAATTCAGTATCTTTGACCAAAATAAAGTTAAGAGCAAGTTTTGCTGTTGGTGTGATAAATATACAATGTAAATAAGAGTCTTTCATGTAGAAAAGTAAGTCTTAACCTCTCTACTGGTCATTTCTCTTATCAAAACTCTGTCTCCCTCTTCTCTTTCCCTCCTGTATGTCCGTCTTTATGTCTCTCTCTCTCTCTCTCTCTCTCTCTCTCTCTCTCTCCCTCTCTCTCTCTCTCTCTCTCTCTCTCTCTCCCTCTCTCTCTCTCTCAACTCATCAAAATGAAATAATACAAGCAGAAAACAAACATAAATCTTTATGAATTGAATTTCTATATTCTCTTTATTTACTTTTTCATTCACTTTTGGACTAAACCATCAAATAATATAGTATTTACAAAAATAACCCAAAACATTCGTTCTATAAACATGACTTTTACATTTCAGCACCAATATGAAATAATGCATACAAAGTAACATAGTGCATACCTGATTATTAATTCATACAAAATGTTTCATTTACATGATACAGTTCAAAAGATACAAAAGAAAACATATAAACTGTGTACAGAGCAATGAAACAAGTTCACAAATATGAAGATACAATCACATCATTTAACATGTCTTTGTGTCTGAGAATTCTAATTTATTCTTCACATGATCAAGGAGTTGTTACTAGAAGATAATCTTGTTGTTTATCCATTTCATTATAACAAAGATTCAGAGCAGATTAGAACTCCTACAAATGTATCAATGCCAATATTTCCCACCAGATAATCTTTATATTTCTGTATTTTGTACCGGTAATCACAAATGTATTTCAATGCTTCTTCACAAACAAATATTACCAAATAACACTAAATGAGACCATGGTATATGGTGTTATTTCATAAATATTTCTGCTCTCAACATCAGTTTTATGCCAAGCCTCATCTTTCTAATTGCTCGTGATTCAAAATGTAATGCTTTAATTTGGTATCAACCCCTTATATATATGTATAGGGAAATGTTCATTGGGGTTCATTGGGGTATATCATCAATGAGAACTTGAGAAGTGTGTTTCTCGAATAATTTCAATTCAAATTTTCAAGAAATACTTAAAAATACATTGTGATATATTATTTTGGATAAACTACATATACATAGTTGAATGCCATTACAGAACTGTGTGAAGTGCAAATTAAAAAAAATTAATACAAAAAATAAATAGTGTAGGACACAGTAACGACATGAGTGTACATTTACACAAAATCCTTTAAAAGGGAATGTGAAATGCATATGGAAAACAAATGGTTGGTATAATCCAAAAATAAGGTTCCATGAATCTTTCATCTTTACACATATCAAGAGATAATGTGATATTGTATGTCAATTAGTAATTCACAGCTCAATCGGGAGATAAAAGAATAACAAATAATGGAAGAAAAAATGACTTAAGTACACTACATATCTCAGCCTATACATGTATCATACTGAAAATCAATTAACCTTTGACAAAAAATGCTCATATGATGCTATAACAGAACCAGTATATCAATCTGTATGTATGAACAATATATTAAGTTTATAGGTATATACCATAACTGTAAATGTACTATCATAATGTCAATTAAGTTAAGATCGTAATATGAATCATGATGCAGACTTTAAAAACATGAATATTTTATGTAAATTTTGTATGATAAGAGATTAATGATCAATTTCTATTTAATATTTAAATTCATCCTTTACTATATCATCTGTATTTTAAAAATCTGGCAATTCGTTTTTAGGTGATCCATGTTAGATCTAAGTTTGAAAAGTGTTAAATAAAATTGAAACAAATGTTCTATATATCCAATAACTATGTTCAAAATATGATTGTTCTTCTAAACCAACCTAAGTAACTTATACCACATGACCCCCCCCCCCCCCCCTCCGATATAAGTTCATATTCTTATAAGTAATACAAGGCACTTTTTTCAGTCTTCCTCTTTAAATCCCTCTTCCATTCCCCACTCAGTGAAAGACAATGTAATATCCTGTAAAAGTAATAATTTAGCAGTCTCTGAGTTTGACAAAGTTCATTGCATATAACCATAATACTGTCAAGATATTTTTCCTTGCAACAAGTATGGTCTACAATCAAGACAAACGTGCATACATGCACATTTTTACAACACCATGTAACAACAAATTCTTTGGTTACGTTTGAACGGAAATGATAATCAACTGCTTCTTTTAATGACTAGCCCTTAACATTTACCTCAAATGATTCTTTTTAATTCATATTTTCATTTCAAACCTACATCGTATGAATAAATACAACAAAAAAAACAGTTAAACAGTCGGTCAAACCTAGCCTGTAACTCTGTAATAAGAACTCAATTTTTTAGGATCACTTTAGCTACGCTCTCACATTTATCAGTTCTAGTTATTTGTAGGGAAGTCTTGACCAAGTGTGTATAATTGAAGAAAATGTTCAAATGACAACAAAATGAACGCATGAAAAGAAATACATTTCTTTTCCCTTGTCAACCTCATCAAAACAATCAAATTCAACAAAGCATAACCTATCAAAGCATTTAGAAATTGTCATCTCTCACAAAAGAGCAACACAAACAAAAATGTATTTCCAATTATATATCATTCACATTTTAAATATTTGAAAATTTCAGTTAGCTTCTTATCCTCTTACATATTAAATTGATCGTAAAATCCATTCAAAATTTGTTATTACATTGATATTGAGTTCAATGTTTTGACAATGAATGCGATAACATGTTATGACTGGAAGAATATATGAACATACAGTTATGAATTTTGTAATGCATTTGCCCATCCCTTAGCCATACCATACCCTTATAAATTCTCTTACATCAAAAGGGTTTATGAGACAACCACAAAAAAACATGATATTCATGAAACAACCTCAAAAATGGTATCCATAATACTTCTGACCAAATCCAAAACAGAAATAGAAAAAGGAAGGAGGGGGGGGGGGGGGGGGATGACAGGAAAGAAAAATGAAGAAAGGTAAGAATGGTAATATGAACAATACAATAGATCACTGAAGGACAGAATACATGCAATTTTAACATCTTACTTTTGTCATTTATACATTAAAGTTAGCACCATGTTTGTTTACCTAACGTTCCATTAAATTTACACAATTTTTACTTACAGGCCACCGGCAAATGCTGTCTTACAAAATGCAATTATCAATAAGGCCAAGTTGCTTAAATAGCTTCTTCATACAGCTGTAAGAGAAAAGGAGTTGTATCAGAGAATTCTAAATTTCTTGCCATTTCTATAAAGGAGATGTTTTCTAATGACTTGATTCAGCCCTACATGTATGTCAGATAAAATAAATCATTTGTTATGACAGAAATACTCACATTTGTCATTATTTCTTGGGATTGACCACAGAACCCTCACTTTACAACTTGCAAGTCTAGCAGATTTGAAAAATGACAGTTAGATCAACGTCACTCAAACACAATATCTGCTTCAACATAAAACTGATAACTCTTTTCCATGTTTTGTCTCTCAAGAACATGTACAATGTAGCTAAACAGTTTATTCCGCAATGTACAGACTCAGACTGAAATGAACAGTAAATCATAAATAAATATATACAGATATACTGAGATATAGAATGTAATGCACACAGAACTGAATTCCTGCACGATAAGATCACCTGCAGCAATAATCAGAATAAGATATGTAGATAACTTTGACATGAGTCTTTTCTCATAGCAAAAATAATCATATTTACAGACGACTAACAGAGGCAAGATGTAGTAATATACCAAATCATTTTTTTTTTTCTTACAAAATTAAGATCTGGCATATTTTTGATACATTCTGTTATATTACAAGTATGGAGAGTTAGCCAAAAATATATTTGAGATGAATTTGCATAATTGTAAAATGGCACCATTATATTTTTGGAATATCAATAGAAATTATGAACAACTACATTATCAAACCGCTCATTCATCTGGTTTCTTGAGTAAAAATATCAGACAAATAAATTCTGTAATCTGATCCCTTTTAATTTAGAGTTCTATTTTGTTGTATAAACAAATAAGCAATAGTTTAGATTAGGTGGTAATCCGTACTACAGTAACTAGAAAAATCTATGTAGAAAAGGTATTGAGACCAAGAAATTCCACCTTGAAAGCTCCCTAGCACAAATCAGTGTGAAAGATTGCTATCCAATATCTTTTCTACTTAGACCAATTTTACAGTTTCAGTTATCTTTAACGTTATCAGAAATACAGTCTAATCCATCTTAATTAGTGGTCATTGCTCCATGAAGGACACTTGTCTGTAGTGGTCATGTGTTTTGTCTCCCTCATGAAAGAAATGTGTGTTGTACTTGTAGAACCTGTCTAGAAAGGCCACCTGTCTACAGTGGTCACTATCTCTATGGGTGGCCTCAATAGACAGGTTTGATTGTATGTCAAGATTAACATTAGGAAGTTTAACTTGAAGTAAGTTTACTTTTAACAGTAAAAATGTATGAGTTGCATAGATCAAAGGAAGCCAATTACGATTTATTGAGGACTATGTATGTCATCATTTAAAGCCCTTTTTAGGCTATTGTCAATTATCATATCAACCGTACCCCCCCCCCCCCCCTTCTCCCTCAAAAAAGTTTCTAATACTTTTCTTGCAGTGTCTTGCAGATTAGAACTGTGTCCAGTTTAGAATTGTGCCGCGGCAGCAGGTTGCATCTGAACGAAATGACCGTTCTCTACACCGGACCACGACCCTTCCTCATCACCACCACCGTTCTGGTGCTTGACCATCGGGTTACGACTGATGACCAACTCCAGCTTGTTACCAGAGTCAGCGATGAGCGGTACTACCATGCAGCAATCAAAGTCATGGGTACGCGTCTGGTTGATCTGTAGCAAGAAGAGAGGATTTAAAGAGACAAATTTAGTCTGAATTGTTTAATGGCTATCGTACAAACGTAAAATAAATATGTGTATGTAGTGCCCATTATATCACCGGCTGAGAGCCACTTAAGGCCCATTTGGCTCTTAGCAGATGAATTTACCAGTTCAGAGTGTTTCTAATACAAGCCATTATCCAGTTAATGGCCGATAAGGGATAAATTTTGCATAATAGAAACTGACCTTTTCCGCTATTATCTGGATAATGGCCGTGAGAGCTGTGACGCCTTCACAGGCAAAATTATCCTTCTCTTAGAAGGATATTGCAGGGGAAGCTAACCGGATAACATAAGTAGAGAGAGAGAAACCGGAAATAGGAGTGATCACGTGATCAGAATATTTTACCCCGACACTAAAATCCCAGGTTGAACTAGCAGTCCCACAATACTTTCTGTTGGCCTTAACCACAGTTATGCTTAGATAGAAACTGCCCATTCCCTGGTATTATATGCTTTTTTCCAGAAAACAAATTAACCGGATAATTTCAGTTTAACTAATAGAAACAGACTGTATGTCTATGTGGAACCAGAAAGGCACTAACTGACTCACCAATACTTAAACACAGAGTTAACACCCTTCTGACTCTGAGCAGACAAAATCATTCTTGATCAATATCTTGTAACAACATATTAAAATCCATCTACCCTGGCTTTCTACTCTCCATAAAACTTGAAAGAAAGCTATACAATATATGATAAAATGTACATTATTCTATCTTTTTATGATACATCATGTACTACGTCCATCGCGCCAAGCAATTTCAAGCCCGATTACAGCCTCCGGGGGATACCGCTCCATTCATACCGTCCAATTTCCAGCCACTTTCAATGTTGACATTCCCTATTGATTGGTGTGAGTGGGGTGTGAGTGTGTATAATGATTGTACTATCCTTCTACTAACACTTATCGCATCTCATATCATCTCATGATATTAACAAGGTGAGATGTTTCACACAGAAGCATTATATTCTGATGCATAATCAGTAATATCCACACCTACACTCTTATACAAGATATCAATATTTTACTGCTTGTTCAATTGAGATTTTGGTGTAAAACAAGAAAATAAGAGAGTTATGAAATTTAACACACCAAGGGCAAGGAGGGAGAAAATATCATTACATGATTCTAAAATTTTAATGGAATAAACAGAAATTGACCATTCCATACATAATGCTCTACGAAGTTCCAACCACCATTCTCTTTCTTAAACAGAGGAATGTAAGCAAACGCACCGTCATATTATTTTTACATATTGAACAGGCTGTACATGTAATGCAATCTGTTGTATGATAGTTATCCACATCATGTAATACTTGATGAATGATATTTAACCATCATTTTGAACTATGGTGTATACACACATTCTATATCCCCCTGATTCCCTTAAATAGGAAATTATTCCATTACAAGTAACTATGAATGCACATTGTAAGGACATACATGTACAGGCATACAAAGTAAGAGAGAATGAATTTCAACATGTTTTACTTGGACACCCTGTATGCTCCTCATCTCATCCCACATGCACACATAATACATGCCATGGGGAAAACCCATTCTGAGATTCAGGGACTCCCACAACTACTGGCTCTGTTGATGCTTTCAATCAAGAACGATGTAAGAGGGAAGAGCGTGCAAGGCTTGAAGCAATTTACTTGCAGAATTCATTCACTTCCCATCCATCTTGTCAGTCCATGCTCTCTCTCTCTCTTTCTCTCTCTGTGTGTGCCTCCCTCCCTCTTCCTCCACATCCTTCCTCTCTCTCTGTCTCTCTCACTCATTTGCTGTCTGTCACCATTAGTCTCTTCCTCTCTCCTTCCTCTCTCGCTGCCTCTCAATCTGTCTCTCCTCTCTACCTCCCTCCCTCTCTCTCTCTCTCTCTCCTTTCGTGATCTCTCTCTCTCTCCCTTTCTCTCCTTCTCGGTCTGTCTGTTGCTCTGTATGCCGAGGACTCTCTCTCTCTCTGCATATTTGCCAATGGTCAACAATCTTTCCCTCTCTACCTCTTTAATTATTCTACACTTAATGTCCATTAGTATATTTCTCTTTTCTTCCACTTTTCAATTTTCCTTACAAATTCCTGTCTTCCAGCTTCGATGAAGAGTTAATACAAAATGTAGTACACATTTACAAAATAAAAGCGCTTTGTCATAGAAGAGAGCAATGCACTCATTGAAATGTGAACACAGGAATGAAAAAAAAGCACTAACACATAACACTAGTTACATGTAGTCGTTAGCACTCATATCATTTCAGAGAGTAGTTGACAATGACATCAAGAATGCCTTAGGGCAAAACCCAAGAAGTTATCCATGAGCACACTAAAGCTCTACTACACTAAAAGTGCATTTTATTGTTTTCTTCAAAGAGACTACACGTTTGTCTTTAAATCCCTCCAACCCCCCCCCCTCCCCCCCCCCCTTCTCTTAATCTGTTTGTACATATGTCTTTCTCTGTCTCTTTCTATCTTCTTCAAATCCCCAAACAGTGAGTATTAACACACATGAGCTAAAAAGATCTGCATAGCAGTTTTTTTTAGCATGCTGTGTGAATGTCAGACCAGTGAGACTCATGTTCAGCCAGCCTTACTAGGCTTAGCAATCATCATCTGTCACCAGGTTCATGGATGTCAGTATGTTGTGATAGGATTTATGTTGTACAAACATCCTGACACCTATCAAACTCTACACTGGTAAATGATTTTATTATAGTGCAACTGCTATCACGCCAATATCACAGTTTCACTCACGCTCACAGTTCGTACATTGTTTGTCTATCATGTAAATCTTATTTTTAACTTTCTTCTGCGTGAATACAAATCAAACGTATTTCTTTTATAAATATTATTCAGTACAACATCATTAAGACTGTAAAATGCATATTTTCAAAGACCATCCTCACAGAAATAATTCAATAACATTTACTGCTAGTTCAGGCTTTTCCTCACTATTGAAATCCCACTCTTTAATACTGGATTAATCGCATTTCCTCCTCACACTCTAATCGAGTTATAGTTTTTTGACGTATTTGAAACCACTGAAGGAGAAGTAATAACAAGATCTTTCTCTCTCCCACAAACACAGGTCCTTCACAAAGTGGAAGTAAGCAACACAATCTATTGTTGCACCATTCCAGGCGTGCGGTTGCTAATGGCAACAGTTGCCGTGGGAGGGACAGATGAAATGCTGACGATCTGACCATTCATAATTTGTTTACAACAAAACAAGGTCATTTATTACTCTACTATAAATTGCTACAATTGTCGACAGAGGAGAGTAATTTGTGTTGAACACTGCTGTGAAGCTCAAACACTGGCAATCCTTTTATACCCTTCATTCAATTTGAATACTGCAGTTTAGTCCAGTACAGACAAAATATTTGAATGAAGTTCATATATTTCACTCCTACCGACAGAGAGGGTTTGAAAAACCTCCTCCATGAGAAGGATTATACAGGTTATGAAATGGGAAACTTTCTCGGTTGGGGATATTCATAAAATGTAGTTTTTGAAGCTTCTATTATCCTTGGAATTTTGTTGCGCAAGCTTTCGTTCACTCCTGTGGACTTTTTCAGGACACCAGTGATCGCAGGACACCAGGCAGTGTAGCTAAGAAAACGTGTGACTGATCACTTAGCTTGAGAAAGTCCACAGGAGTGGACGAAAGCTTGCACAACAAAATTAAAAATTGATAGAAGCTTCGTAAAGCTACAGATTATGAATTGTTTATCAAAACACATTTCAGTCACATACCATTCATGTCATTATGACAGCAGCTTTGACCTTAAGGTCAAGTGGTCTAGAGACTTGTAGTTTTAGTGGATGCATTACTGGTTCAAATCTAGGATGCAGCTCTTTGCCTGTTTGGTTTGTCATACATTCATACATTTAAATATCATCACCTGCATTTTCATATATAATAAATACTCTGTACTATCATACCTCTTTCCTGTCATCCCTGTTATTTGTTCTTTTTGTTCAGTGATAACAATACAATAAGATTAGATCAAGATCTGTTGTCAAAGCCACAGTCATTATCATTATATTCATCATCATCATCACCATTACCGGCATCACCTTGATCTCGATACCATCATCATCAAGTTATAATCTTCATCAAGTCATCATCATCATCATTGCCATCCATCATCATCATTATCAATGTTATCATCAACAAAGTCCAAGTATTCCTGTGGTAAATCAATAAAGAAAGAAAAACTTTGAAAAAAGAATGAAAATCTTGTCTTTTAAAGACAAATAGAATGAAATAGAAGGAAAAAATGGTCAACTCACCTGGAGTATCCTATCGAAGGGCTTGACATTGCTACTGCGTGAAGCTGGTCCACCAGGTCTCACTGTATTCACAAACACACCCTTGTCTGATATGCCATCGGACACACTGAATCCAAAGTCCTCTACATCACTGTCCTTCTTGAGGGAAACCTTGTGGAGCTCCACCGGTGCAGGGTTCGGTGCCTCAGATACCGTCGACTCATCTCCCAGGTGTGAGGCATCGTTCTGATTCATGACGTTCTGGTGCGTTGTGTTCACACTCTCACTCTTGGAGCTGAAGCTCTCAAACTGGTTGTATCCACCCCCTCCCCCACCCGTAGGAGCATGGGGTGGCAGCGTGTAGCTATGGGAGGAGTCACTGTACATCTGAAGAGAGCTGGTGCTCGGTTTACGTCCCCCGACCGTGCCCGGTTGGTTGAGATAGTAGCCGTGACCGACGCTACCAGCCCGTCGCATCTCGCTCGATGTGAACTGATCGGTGTTGAGGAAACTAGCTTCCAGTTGACGTAGGAACTCTCTGTGCTTGGCGATCTGTGCTTCGTGAGGATGGTAGCTGTGCTGAGAGTGGGCGTAACTGTCGTCTTGATCTGAGCTCAGGATATCGACTGGATACGATCCATTGGCACCGTTGACGAAAGCCCTTCGCCGCTCATCAAGCTCATCTTCGCTGGCATCATTGGGTGATGTGGAGTGTGAAGAGTTGTGCACCCTCCTAGGGCGATTGCTTCGTCTCGAAGGAGACATGCTGCTGCGTCGGGAGCGGCTGGTCTTTGGGGAGTGGGAACGAGAGTGATGCGTGTGGTTACTATGGTAACCGGTATCCATACCCGAGCCTTCCCATGAGTCTCCATTGGTCTGGATCATGACTGGCGTAGCGATGTGGTCTGCGTCGTAGTGTGTAGCTACTCTACTGAACCTACTAGGACTTTGGCTTCTTGAGGATGGTTTGTTGCCCTGAAAATGAAAACAAATTTCACAATATATTCTCAGACAAACACACACATAAACTGAAATTTTACTCAACACAAATACCTCCACCTTCCAACAAATATTAAAGGTTAAACACAATTTGAAAATACAGGCTATAATATATTTCTATTCCACTTTCTCTCTGGGACTTGCTCATAATTAAGTGAGATAACAATGTTTTCACAATATTCATTTCTTCTTGTGTTGAATACCTACAAATGAGGGCTCAAAATTCTTGCATCAATCCATACAACCTTATCTATTCTTCTCGTTTTTTGCTACAAATCTCACATTCACACAGACCCAACATTACAATCATGTGATCATCTCACCTGGTCATGTCCCCGGTGCTTCTCCTTCTTGCTGATCTTGAGGACCACCGTGTCTCCAGCAGACTGCAGGAGACGAATAGCTTCAGACAATGTCTTGCCCTTCAGCGAGACGCCATTGATGGCTAGTAGACGGTCGCCCAAGTGGATAGCACCAGTCCTGAATAATAATGAGGGGGAAAATAACATGATTACATGGGCACGTTCTATAGACTTGATACATAATAACAATTGATTTTATAGTACTATAACTTTTTTTTTTAAGTATGACAAATGAAACAACAACATGAGATTTAATACGAGCCCTGCTGCTAATCTTAAAGGTGAGAACACTTAAGTGGGAAGGTACTTCAAATATTGGGCAACTCAGTAATATGGGGAACTCAATAAAATTCTTCCTGAGGATTTCATATGTAAAAAAACATTTTAGTAGATCATGTTCTGTCAATCCAGAATTGTAATCATAGCAATTAATACCTCACGAAGTGACAAATGGAATTCTCTTTGCACAGTAACTTAATATGCAAAAGATTTATAAGAACTTACCTCTCAGCTAGACCATTCTCTGTGAGTCCAGAGATAATGACAGGATCAAAAGGTTCTTCTGTTCCTGAGATTGTGATACCCAGCGGACCACCATGTCTGACCAGCTCCACCGAGTAAGATATTGCACCGCTTACATCAGGCTCATCTGGGCAAATGAAAAGAAATAAACAGCATTCTTTGATGTACTCTATCAATCTGCTTCACATGTCTAGCTAACTATTCTTGCAATAACAATGATATTAGTAATGGAAATTTTCTCTCAAGGTGCTTACAAACGCGATCTTACTAACAGTAAACTCTTACTCTGAAAGTAAGATTGCATACGACCCCTAAAATCACTCTATAATAATACACAGTGTATACTGGAGTCATGTTTGAAAATACAATGGGGCACAATGGCCTCCATTAATTTCCAATCAGGTAAACCGGCCCTATAAGCTTTGACATTTATTACACCCCCTAAATATTAGTTTCTGGACCGATTGATCATTTGCTTGCATAGCCCCAAAACTCTGGAATAACTTACCATTTGAAGTCAGGAAATTACGATCTGTGAATATCTTTAAATCAAAACTGAAAACACATCTTTTCAATTAACTGTAAATGTAAGCATATCAGGAGCTCTTGTAGCGCAGTAGAATATATACTTAATGTTGGATAGTTTCTGCACTCTATAAATGTAATATTATTATTATTATATACTGTTACCAAACATAAATTGAACCCCAATCCAGTTTATTTCGGAGAAAGTCTGGATGTCTTCTTACCCGAATAAGCCTCATTCTTCTTGACCTTGAGTTTGACGATTTCATCTGCCTGAGCCAAGAGATGCATGGCTTCTTCTACTGTAATACTGTCTAAATGGATGTCATCTATGGCAAGAACTTGATCACCTGGTTCTAACGTACCACTCCTAGAATATCATGAAAGAAAATCATCATATTAATACCCAAGTCACACTGACAAGGCCTACACCAGGCAAACAAACGACCAACCATCAGAAAAAGTGCATTACCACATGGCAAAACATAAGTAGGTTTGGAGTCAATGTGGAGTCGGTGTGGCGGAGGTATTAAAAGAAATTGAATGTTCTTCTGTGAATTGAAGACTAACACGTAGGTGAAAATATTATTTTCATCTTCAATCATCAACCAAATTCAATCACATTGACAATTTTACTAACATTTCATTACATAACATAACATTTGATATAACTTTTCATTCTTGTATCAAGTAATAAAATGTTTCCATGTTTCGACATGATTCAAATTAAAGGAAAACATCTCTTTTTCATTACCTGTTTGCTACACTGCCTTTCTTCACAGTTGATATAAGAAGCCCATCACCTAGCCTTCTGTGTTTAAGACCTGAAATATAGAAGAAATCAAACATTTACTGCTTGTTCATATATTCAAACACAATAATTTGAATTGTTTAAAAATGAACTAACAGAATAAATTTCTTACAATTTTTAGTTCACCACACGCACACACTTTTAAAACTACTGTATGGGTGACATTGACATTGATATGTTACTAACTTGAGTTTGACAGAGGTCAAAAAGTAAAAACTGCATGCAACTATCATCAAACAATATACAGTGCTTCTAATTAATGCAAGTTTTCCTTAAATGTACACCAATATTTTGCATCCTTGTTGCACGTTCATAAGAGAAAAATAAGCTCAGCTCTACCAATGAAAAGCAGGTAAAGGAAAGCCTGACTTACTTGTAAGTGTTATACCAAGACCCATCTCACTGACAGGTAACTTAACGTTAAAGACACCACTGCTGGGCACAACAGACTCTGTAAACATAGGGGCAAATATGAAAGAATACAGGTTATAGTCATACAGCTTCAAATTGTGTTATTAGATCAAAATATCCATTCACGGACTTATATATATATATATATATATATATATATATAATCTATTTTTTGAAAGATACGTACAGATTTATATTGAAGATATTTTTCCCTCATTATGTGGTGAATTTTGAGTCACAAATTATTTTCAAATCCAATGACATTTCTTCTTCCACTAACACTTCTTGAAATTTCTGAAAATTGATACATAGCAATATTATGAGCAATATTATAGCTTAACTTTACATAGAAAATGATCTCATTCAACTTAGATTGAAGTGAGTTATAATGAAATTCAAACCTACTAAGAAATTTCTTACCTGCAATATCAAACTCTATTTCCAATGTGACCTGAGGTGCACTTTCCCTTAGGATATGATTAGCTTCGTCTGCTGTCATATCTTCTGTGTAGCTACCGTTGATAGCAATCAAACGGTCACCAGGCTGCATTACACCACTCCTGTATCAAACAGAATATAAGAGCATCAGGATTTTGTCATTAAGGTTTTGCCTGATCGAACTCATGTTGCTCAAATTATAATACATTACTACATGTATAAATGATCTAATTGAAAGTAGAGGATTTACTGTACTGTCATAAATTCAAACATTGATACAAAATTTAGAACTGATTTATACTTTTCTTGTTGCCACAGCACAGGCTACCTGCACTACTGAATCATAAAACCACTAGATAATCAACTGGATAAAAATGCACTTGGAAACATTAGTGAATATTGCTAAATGATATCAGGTTATGCAGCACTTGTCCAATCAGTTCTTCCCTCTTTCCAGGTGAAGATAATGTCTGCAGCCCCCTTTCTGTCTCCCAAAAGAAGTATCAAAAGAAGGAGTAAGAACTGCCTCTCTTTCATTTAAAGTCTATCTGCACTAGTTTGGTCTGGAGGGTTTAGACATCCTTGCGTGGTCGCTGACAGGTGGTTATCTCACCAAATCAGCTCTCAATTAACATAAGAAAAAGGGGATCACTGGGGACCAACAGGTACCGCTTAGGAATTGTTTGCTATATAGAGGGCGCAAGTAGCGACAAGTAGTGGAGTCCTGCTTTCAGCAGAGTTGGACTTACTTTTCAGCCTTTCCTCCTGGTTCTACGAATCCAACGACAGCAGGAGAGCCTAGGATTTCCGTAGCAAAGACACCACTCTGTAGCTGTATACCGTAGTCACCTGTCCTGGAGTATAGGGTAACATCCACAGAGTCTGTGTGACATACTTGAGGTGATGATAGGCCATTGATGGTTGATGCAAGGGATACTGTGAGGACACAAGAAAATGGGATGGATTAGAAGATAAAGATGAACGGCTGTGATTCGTATCACACCTACGACATTGATATGTGATTATTGGACTCTGGCATTGGGAAGACAAATATATATTCATGAAACAAAGGCTTAACAAAAAATAAACAGTGGTATAGATTTCGTGGTTTAAAAAGATGACAAGACATGTAACTATATCTTCCACTTCACCAGTGTACTTGGTAGAAAAATTCCTTTGAAGTCAGAATAATACAATATTCAGCAGCTTCTTTCCTTTTGAAAGGTACATTTTTTTAAACTGCTTTGATTCACAAGATCACTTTGATGAATTCTAAAGACACTTCATTTGACTAAAGTATTCATATTAATTTGAAAATTAACTGAGATGTTCCTGTCAGAATATTTTGAGGACTTCCCAAGAATGGTGTCTTTAAAAAAAAAAAAATCAATTTCATGGCTGAAAATTCGTTTTCACTTGCACAACCTAATATGAATAACATGTTGGAGTACTGTTAAACTTACACATCGATCCCGTCTTATGTCCCTTCGATCTGAGTTTACGTGCCAAGGTACTGCTCTGTTGCCTTGTGTTCTGTGAGTTCATTGTTCCTACCCTAGACAGGCTACTATGGCTATACCCTGGCATCAAGGGGGTTGTAGATCGTGATGGTTGACCTAGGATTAAAAGGAGAAAAGTAATTTGTATCATTAGATGACATCATTAATCTGAAGCACTTTATACAATTACAATGTTAAAGATAACGAACATGTCCTATAAGATCAATCTAATTCATTGTTGTCAGTATGTTGATTAAGTAACAGACCTTTCATGCATCTGTATGCAACATTGGATAAATGGGCTTTCAAACTTATTCAAAGATTTTCTCATATCATAAAAGCAATACTATCACTTCTACATCACTGCTTATTTCAAGTTCTGCATATTCATCATCATTATCATTGATATCACCAACATCTTCTTTACTCTAATCCTCCCCCTCCTCCTCATCCTATTCCTCATCATCATCATCATCATCATCATCATCATCATCATCATCATCATCATCATCATCATCATCATCATCATCATCATCATCATCATCATCATCATCATCATCATCATCATCATCATCATCATCCTCATCATCATCATCATCATCATCATCATCATCATCCTCATCATTATCATCATCATCATCATCATCATCATCATCATCATCACCATCATCATCTTTATCATCAATGTCACCATCATCATCATCATCATCACTATCATCATCATCATCACTAATATCAGCATCATTTTGATAGCACATTTCCTGAGACCTACCTCCCAATTTCTGCATATCTCTCGAGTAGGTCAATCTAGGGGTCATCTGACTGACCGGTAGTATCTCAAGCTTGACCTGCTCTGTACCGGACGCTAACAGTTTCATGGCTTCGGCTACACCCATGTGAGTAGTGGTCAATCCATCAATGGTCAGTATCTCATCACCAATATGAAGGGCACCACATCTGATAAATAAAAACATAATTCCATGTTGACATCCTCTGACATTTCAACTTGGTCAGCTTGATTTTATCAGAAAAACAATCTAGCTATCAACATATATGGTGGTATTTTCACAAAGCTGGGCATATTATACAATTTGTGAAAGTTCTCATTTTATGGTACACTGAAATGTAAGAGCAATACATTCTGCTCCTGTATGTGTAGCAAGTTGGTTTGCTGCCCTCTATAGTAGAAATTCCTAGGTAAATGTACACAATTCTAAAAGGAGAGAATAGTAAAGTTTATAAACTATGATTTCACAAGCACTACGAAATAGAAAAGGAAAAATAAATATATATGATCAATTGCAGTGACCTTTCTCTGACCTTGCTTTTTCAAAACTCTCTGACCACTGATCTCTAAAGTCAGTTTCATTCTGCTTGTGAAAGTATGCTGGCAGATGTCACTGCTTGAAAGTCAATAACAGAAATAAGTCAAATGTCCATTTCATGTCAGTTTCAGATAGACAATGGCCTCACATTGCAATCTTGTAGATATCATCTCAAATTAATTAAACTGAAAATAACTTGGATGTTGTTTACTTCCTGAGGTAAGGTACAATGGTAGATTTCAAACACCTGCTGTGTCTAACATTCCGTTTTGTTCATTTTTTGATTTTCTGTTTGATGTAGAACCATTACCTAAGTGGCTACAGTCAATTGTTGGTCATGCAGTCTTTTGGTTGTGAAAGTTGTCTGTCTTGTTGCTGACAGTGTACTGGAATGTCCTCCCGATATTCTTACCGTGATTCAGAACTATTGGCTATGACCCAAACCATGGTGTGCACCAAGGGTTGTCCCGTAAAGAACTTACCTATCTGCAATCCTGGCAGGATTCAGGTTGTCAATGATTTAACTGCCTTTCCGCTCATTGAAATTGAGCTTGGTCCCACACCTAGACATCGATTGAATGTTATCTTTAGACTTACCTATCTGCTATACTGGCAGGCTTCAGATTATCTATGATTATTACTGCCTTTCCGTTCCTTGGAATTGAGCTCAGTCCCACACCTAGATGTGCACCGGGGGTTTTGGAGACCTCTACCAGTAATGGACCTGTGGCATTCTTCACTGCCTCTGTAAAGTATAAATAAAAAGAAAGCAAGATTTATTATGATAGCATGGACACTTTAATAACTTGGAACAAGATAGAATTTTGAAAAGAAGTGAAAAGAAAGGATGTAATGAGAAAATATAAATGAAGCGATAAAGATGTTGTTGGATTTTAATCATTTGCGGGGTAAAAAGAGGAAAAATGGATAATGCTTTTTCAAAGACATGAATTAATCTGCACATCAATTAAATTTGACTAACAAAATATTTTGAATGTAAAGATGTCTACACAGGAATACAGAAGCAATTAAACAGATCAAACATAATTTTTTTAATTTAAATGATTAGATAACGATGTTTACAAAAATTCCAAGCCAGGCTTTTGAAATGAAAACATTTTTTCAACAAAAATACAAACAATTGTTTAAGCAATAATGGGAATAGCACCCATGTAAAGCTATACAGTTCCAAGAACTGAACAAAAAAGGGGAAAATGTGGCATTATGGAAAGAAAGAAGTTTACTTTAGAAATTATCATTTATCATTTCCATATTTGAACACAAAATAAATAATACAATCACATTGTTTAGATGTCAATACCGGTAACTGTGAAAACATAAAGAAAGAAAAACAAAACCAGACCATAAATACTGTTAGTAAAACAATTCTCTTTTAAAAGACTGTAAACAGTGCACAAAGGGAAACCAGAATGACCCATATTCATGAACTTTAAAAAGACTAAAAGAGTATCTGTGATCAACTTATCTTCTGAGAGATCCATGATTACAGCAAGCTTATTATTCATAGTCACTTTATTCTTGACCTGCTAAACAGTTACTACTATTTGAATTACTTAATACCACCATTAATCTCTAGATTAATCCTACATTATGAACTATTTCCTTTACTATTATCCCAATCAAGCTCCCTGTGACCAAACGCAATCCATCAGAAAATATAGTTATAAAGAAATATGATCGTTTGACACACCATCAGAGATGTTAGACTCATTAGCTTAAGATAACAGTGATCTATGAAATTAAAAATCAGATCCCACACTAAATTGAGTTACAATATGTATGCGACATATTGGAAATATCAATAATCTTGATTCAACTGATAGATAATAAAGATATGAATGTACTGTTTCCCTGTCCTAATTATCTGTTTTAATTGAATTCCTGGGATTATTTAAATTTTACAACAAAAGTAATCATAAGTTAAGGAAATATACTGCTTCTAAAATAGTATGATATTTCTTTTATCAGCCTCAGCCAAATTGAATTATGACAATAGGAATGTAACATCCTTTAAAGGTACTATGTCCCATTTGCAGGCCAAAAAAAATGAAAAAGTTAAATTCCAACTGCATTTGAAAGATAATACTAATTTAGAACTTCCCTAAAAAAGGTGGGGCTTGAAAATGTCTGCAAGTGGGAAAATAACGACTATTAGTTGTCAAATCGACTTTAGGGCTATAGAGCCCAAAAGTAATAGTCTCGATTTTCAGACAGTTGTACCGAATGGTCATACATTTTATGCTTCGCAAAGATTCAATCAGTTTAATCTTGGCCATCACAAGAAGTGAGTTATTAATGTAGACAAATGCTCATGTACCCTTTACAACTCTTTCCATGTATGTTATTACCAAAGAAGAAAAAAGCCAGTCAGTCACTCAATAGTGTCTGACAGTGAAGTCTAGCAAGTAAATGGGTTTCCTTGCATAATTTGAATATGAGGACACAGCTAACGTTTAAATTTCACAGATAGGACATACATGGCATATTCATAATTCCTGCAAAGTTCTACAGAATTTGAGGCTGGCTGCAAAAGGGACATAGTACCTTTAATATAGGTATTCTTGAGATAAAATGTAATATACATGTACACTTGAAAAATACTGACTTCCAAATCACATATGTATACAACCAATGACTTGTGTGGTCCTCTCTCATTACTCTAGCTTACTTTAAACATGGAAATATAGCTTAACTTTCAGCTGAGGCTGTCAAAATGGTCTACAGCAATCTAGTAACCATATCTCAAGGCCAGCTTTACACTTTTGGAGGCTGTTCCTTTCTACGTCACATGGGTGCAAGGAGTGACAAGTCATATGCCATACTGAGATCAGTTAAAAAAGTTCCTATCTACAAATCTTTCTTCCTTTCGCCATTTTACCAGGTACTTCTCAACCATGATGAAGTCCCTCAAATGATTAAAAGATCTATATCAAGGGCTAGGAATAGTTCAAAGTTTGTACAATGTTATCAGGGGAGATGAAAAGACAAGTTAATGACAATCTATCACAAAATGGAAGTCATAATTTCCCCCAATCAATTTTGAAAGACCCTGACTCATCAATAGTTTGAGCTAAATTCAATCTATTTTTTCAGTTCTACTCCTTTAAGCACTAGTTCTGACATTCAGTCTCTTAAGAAGCTGAGAAGCTTTCTTCTGAAATGGTTCTAAATTTCAAAATGTATTATTATCATTCTTTTTTTACATAAATTGTAAGTTTTACCATTTAGTTAAAAACCATCAAGGTAATGGAGTGAAGTGGTCCTGGATTCTTGTACATAGTAATGGTGGTAAAAAATTAAAAATGTAACTTTTTACAATTGTCTCAGCAATAGCTTCCACTGACTTAAATTTCACTCAACAAAAGTAAGCATTTAGTGACTACAAAAAAATGGAATACAAGATAATTAGAATGTATCTACTACATCCTTGTGATACAGCCACCTATTGTGTAAAACCCAAAGAAACCGGACGGTCTCGTTCTAGCCTAGGTGAAAGCATGATGAATGATTGGCCAATTTGTATCCATTTCCAGTTATAATGATGATGAGGGAGAGGCAGTTGTTTGACGGGTGTTTGACAGATGCATATATATACTTGGAAGTGACAAATGTATGACACAATGTTAATCAATCAAATTTTAATTTCAGTAGGTAGTTTAAATATTCTCAGGCTAATCTGCTTTTATCTTTTTTCTCAGTGTTCAATTAACAGAGAAAGAGACAGAGAGAGCGTGAAAAGAAAGAAAGGGAGAGAGGGTACAGTGACAGAGGAGAGAGAGAGAGAGAGAGAAGGGGTGTATAATTTGCAAGAGAAAAACATATATAAACGGAGAGATACCAAGAGAAAGAGAGGAAATTTATTGAATTAAAATATTGTACATGTGATGTAACTTTAAAGAATCTATCCAACAAAATTTGGAGTGACTTGAGGAATATTCTGTCAGGAAGTATAAATTCAATTCTCTATTATTAGCTTTATAATAGCTGTGAATCATTGCATAATGCTGGTACGCTGCCAGATGTTTGTTCACATTAACATAGGGTCTGTTCTAATTCGTTCTAACAAGTGAACAGTCACATCCCATGGAGATTTAGTACGGACCAGTGACCTTCTGCGCTTACAACCTCACAAAATCTCATCACGTCCAAGATGGGGTGTGGCTACTCTAAAATAGCCACTCTTAAAAATAGCCGCATCATATTCAAGCTTGGATAGCGTGTAAAGCCTGGCCTTGGAACATCAGCTCCATGTAATCATGAATAACTTCCCACTTGTCATTCGAAAAGGATTATAGGGGCTTAGTCAACCGTGATTCACCATCGTCCTCCTGTCTCAATTCCGAGTAGAGTATGGGGCATTGCAGGCAAATCAAAACATCGATGTCAAAATTCAGAAAATGAAACAGGCTCATTACAGGAAATGGATTATATCAAAGGAAGTGTCATTAATTTGGAGAAGATGAATCAAAGTCAAAATCAAAATTCAGACATCATCATTAATTTTGAACAAATTCAAGTAGATTCTGATTTAATCACTACTCCCTGCACTTTCCATGCATGCATGGTCCTTTATGCCTCCCTTCTCAAACATGAACTTTGTTTGCAAAACAGCTAAATCATTTCTTTCTTTCTTTCTTTTTATACCAAATGTTTCTCAGAGGGAGACATCTTAGAACCGGGGTTCGATATTCAAGATCCCAGGAGTAAAGGAAAGTAAAAAAAGTTCCCAGAAGGACTGGTAGAAGGTATAGTGAACCCAGTGAATCATATACCGGTAACATGAAACATCTGCTTCCTGTTTCATCCTTTTTTTTCCCTTAATTCACATCCAGTTTTTTTCTGACTAATAAAGTACCAAAAAGGAATATTTCTTACCTATTTATATAAGAGTTTATTTAAAGTTATTAAATATCTATTATAGACAAGAATGAGGCAAACAGTAGACTGCTACAGTAATCTAATATTTATATACGGTAAAGGGTAGAAATCAATTTTTTGGGGAAAGGTCATACAGGCAGAGAAACAAAATTTGACTTTAAAAAAAATCCAGGTACCCCTTTGCACAGGAAGTAATTCAATATCTTTGTCAACAAATGCCTGGGCTATCAATCAAAAAATATCAGAGGTGTTAAATTTGGGTGTCTCAGCTCTTTTCTGTTGTTTTTTTTTTTGTTCCAAAGGGGACAACATAATCTTGGTTGAAGGTTTAGTTAGCTGGACAATCTTTAACCTTTCTATCAGATCACCTGACTTGGTCACCTGACACGAAACTTGAACTCCTTCTACCCATCACCATTATCTTTGGCCTGCATCACAAGACATCCAGTAATCACTTTACCCAATATCCACACCATTTCCTACATGAATTACCACAAGAGAACCTTGACGTAGGCAACTCTTTTTATACCGTATTATTCTCTAGATTCTAAACACGCTTTGTCATCTTATCGTTCTATCTCCAAACCTATAATCCACTTTGCTCTTTCCTTACTTTTCCCCTTTGGTGTTGCTGATGGATGTCAGTTTATAAATATATTCATGTCTCCATGGCCATTTTAATCTGATTTGCCTCGTTAAGAATAAATGTTCTCTGTTCCTACATGCTACCTCTAATATCATTAGGGGAAAGTGATGATGAACACAAAATTACTCTTTTACATTGAATGGAAATTTGATTTCTATAAAGAGTTTGAAAGAATGGTTGGAAATTGAGTAAAATTTCATCAAATTTTGATCTAATTCAGAATAATGGATTAATGTGGAGTGATGTGATTGTACTACCATAATGGTTTCACTTTTATGGTCAGTCATGCTGCACACATGAACTACAGCCAAACTTATCACTAACTGAAAGGAAAGTGATGATGAACTCAAATGACTCTTTTTATATTGTATGGAACTTTGGTTGCTATAAAGAGTTTGAAAGGATGATTGAAAATTAAGTGAAATTCCATTAAAACCTAAAGCCCAAAGTCATATTAATGTAACATCATCTATGTATATCGTTATAAAAAAAAATTATCAATAAAGTGAGCTTTAAGCATTGTAGCTATAGCCTAACACAAATACCAACGAGACATTGCAACACCAACAACAACAAAACAAATAAAGGAAAAAAGTAATATTAATGCATGCTCTCATGAGAACACTCCAAATAAAACATTAGAAGCTGAATAACAAATAAAAAAAACAAAGCAATGAATACTCCAACAAAGGAAAATGAAATGAACAAAAGACAACCAGCAGAAATGAAAATACTATGTTATTACCTTTGATTTAGTCACTGTGCACAGAGTGATGAAAATAAGAGGTAAATGAAGGGTTAGAAAAGATGAGGTTAGTGGCATACATTTGAAAGTGGTTTGGGTGGTTACAGGTATATATGGTAATGGCTTGTGAGGATCAATTTACATTGGCATACATGACTCTTGATAAAGAGTGGGTGTAGGGTGGTTATTGAAATGATACAAGTGAGGGGAGTTGTTATTATATGAAGATACAAGGCTTGGATAAAGCCATTTATTGAGAATTTCGAGAAAGATGACCAATTTCTGAGGTATGATTATTATATTATTATAAACAAAACAAGAACAGCAAATAAAAATTTTAACCCCTACCCTAACTTGACATTCAGCCTTCACAAAATTATCATTTTGAGAACTAATTTAATTTAGTGATGAAAGAATGCATGTGGTCATCAAGCCTAACTAAGTCAAATACTGAATAGAATATGAAATCATTTTGCAATCACTTTTGAAGAATAACGAATAAATTGGGCGTTTTTTAAAGTTGTAGTAATAACACATAATCAAAAGTGTTTATACTACATAATTGGTCTTCTACTTTTCAGGAAGGTTTTTCATTACATTTATTAACCCATTGGCTGCTCAATTCTCTCATTCCCCTAATGGTAATACAGGAACCCAAATGCAATGGGTCAAGGCAATTGAACCCTGGACTTGTCATGATGAGCAGCTCACAATGAAACCACTCAACCACCATACTTACCCATGATAGAGACATCATATTCAAATCTCAGCACAGCGCTGTTGCCTCCTTGCCTAATGATGTTGAGTGCTTCCATGTGAGAGGCCTGACCCAGGTTCGTTGTCTCCACGGCTACCAATCTATCACCAACCTTCAACGACCCCTCCCTGAATGGGTCAAAGGTTAGAACGGATTAATGTGTTGGCGTAGTATCTTCTTCCATTTTTATGAAAGACGTTAGTTATCAAGTAGAGATAATGGGTCTATTCATCATGCCTGAGAGAGATCTCTTAGTTTAGGATTTCTTTCATGAAATACATCAATCAATCATCATGAAACCCATCTTCTCTCTCTATTGACATACCAGTGGAAGTACCTGATAAACAAATTTCAACAGCGATCTTCTATTTTATTTGAAGCTGAAGTTTTCATTCTTATACTCTCATAAGAAATGCTCCTATGCTCCCTTGCTTAGAATTTTAAGTTTTTCACAAAGAGGTTTGTATGAAGGTAGCATGTATGTTTGACAGTTACAATATTTTTAAAGATATTTCCTTGATATTAACCATCTTTAAACAAATCCAGTTATCTAGGACAGTGAGAAAGTCATTTATGTGCACCTTTTCAACTTTGGGCATCCTATCTGGCACTTCATAATCAAGTCATTAGTAAAGTCATGCGTAACTTTACGAACAGCTTTATGAAACACCTCCAAGTTGTCTAAAAATCATCATACAGTCTTTATAAAAACCAAAAGAAAATATGGGTGATTATCTTCAATATTTTCCAGTAAATCTGGTATGTTTAGATGCTTTACCCATATTTCATATTTCCATATCAGACAAATGATCATGGAATGCAAATGAGCCATCTTTTTCCATCGGACCTAGGTAACCTTTTCCCCTATATCTTAAAGACTGATTACATATAATACTTTTAAGATCTTGTGTAGTCCTTACAGATGCTACACTCTATGTAATAGATAAGAATCTTTTACCTATCACCTGGTCCACCCGGTCTGATATGCGTGACAACCAGTGGGCGTGTCTTTGAGCTGTTTGCATTGACTCCGCCCCTGATGGTGAATCCATAGCTACCGTCTTCTCTGGTCAATCTGATGTCCAGAGTCTTAGAATACCCCGTTGATGGGCTCAAGGGAGCTGCAGAGAAATACAAGAGACGGTAGTATGATAAATGGTTGAGGGTGATTTCCTACCAGTCTATAGTGATTTCCTGATGAGGGTGTTTCCTACCAGTCTATAGTGGTAGGTACGTGGGAATAAAAAATGCATAAAAATTCCTCCTCTCATAAAAGGAGGGAACTAGAATATCATTTCAATTCAAAGCTATGAAAGTTACTAACTTCCCACTAAATTTGATGATCCCTGTGGAAAACTCTCCCTTACACCTAAGAGTTACTTCAAGTATCTAAATCTCTATAGTATAGCACACAGCATCTCACCTATTCCAGCTAAAAATTAACCACATTTAATCAAGTTAGAATAATAAGGACTAAAATATTACAAAATAGTAATTTTACATTCATTCATATGCGTTTGTAGCCTTATAAAATAAAGATGAAGGAAATTAATTAGGTTGACCTCTGTTGGATGTTATTTGAAAAAATCATTTATTTTGCATGGACATCAGCTTGGTTAATGTCAGGCTGAGTATTCAACTTATCAAAATAAGATTATGATTCGGTATACTCTTACTATATACAGGGAGCTCATACTCTATCTCCAGAGAGACCTTATTGCCCACATTCTTCAAGAGAGTGATGACCTCGTCATGTCGCAGCGTAACAGTCTTCACATTGTTGACTGATGTGATGAAATCTCCAGTCTGAAGTACATCACTGCGATGGGCCACGCCCCCCGGACGCATGTTGGTAACTCTGGGTCGGCCATCTTTGTCTATACCACCTATAAGAAGAGAGAGGGATTGATTATTTAGTACTGCAGACTTCAAAATATCCCTGTCATTTATAACAATGCCAAATCTTTTAATAGGATCCCAATATTTAGATTTATAACAGTGCCAAATCTTTTGATAGAATGCTAATATTTACATTAAAAATAAACTAATTAACTGTCCTTAATTTCAAATTACCTAAATTTATCCAAGAACAACTGAATGAAAATTAACATCACATTAATTTCTTCATAAGTTTTATAAACAATTCAATTAATTAATTTCCTGTTCAAGTTCTACAATTTGCTGGAAACCATTGAAACGCAAACAGTAAAAACATATAAATTCAATTCATCAATGCGCATGACAACTGCACTTTTATCCCAAAACAACAGAATATGTTTTACATTCAAAATATTTAGAAAACATAACAGGCTTCCCTGCTTCTTGCATTTAATAATCAACTTCTGTATTAGTATTCAGACCCTATATCTTACCCCTCATCATCATGACTATGCAAGAAATTTCCCCCCTTTTTCTTGTTTTCCTCCATTTTGAAGTAACACGATGCACACTTGTTTATCATGTTACTACATTTTCACATAATGCTTTAATTCAATTTCCTCTTACTAATCTCCTAAAATGTGCAAATCAGGTTCCTGATCTTTTCTCGCTTTATACATTGCAAGATTATGCCTACCCTGGATCCATATAAAACATGATGTGTCTATAAATACTGCTTCGCTTCAATAAGAGTGACAATTTTTAATACAGGGTTGTTTTTTAAGATGAAATGATTACCTATATCTCCTTGATTTTCATGACTTCAGAGTCATACTGTTATGTTTATATTACTCTTTAGAAATTCTATGACAAGTACATGAATGCTTTATTTATATTCCCAGTTTTATTTACATTATCACATATCTTCTTAGATTCTGAACTCTAAATTTAGACCAGGAAATAAATCAAGGGAGCATCAGAATAAAAATTAAGAAAAATGACCAGGGGCTCGTCAAAAGTGCTTGAAACCTATTAATCCACTAAATCTCTGCCAGGATCTTGATTGAGACCTAGAATAATCCACATTGATTAGAAGGACAGCTCAAATCAGTATTTCAATCTAATCTTGGTCAGCTTGGTCTGTCTTGGGATACTATCCACACCCTCTCTCTCTCTTTCTATCTTACTCTATCTCACTATCTATCTTGGCGTGTGATCAAACCATCTGTCATGGTTTCAAGACTCAGAGTCCTAAATGGTCGGTAATGCTTGGTGACAGTATATTAAACCTGTGAGGAGTCTATGCATGGTGATCATAAATTTAAAAGATAATCCAGGGCTTTTTCATCAGTCCTGTCTAAACAAATCTTGCGCAATTTAGCAATAAAAAGAATATTCCACCAAATTTCCTTGCGTTGACTGAATCCTATAAATCATTACTACCGTATGCACTAAGTTACAGATGACATGAATATACCATTAAAAAAATAGAGACATTTTTATCATATTTTTTTTGCAACTACATGTATGTATAAAAACATCAATTAAAGAGGCCATCAAATATTATAAAAAGAGGATATTTTTTAAAAATATAAAAAATATGCAGGGGGGGGGGGGGCATTTTACCAAGTATCTCTCTCTACCATGCTACATGAACACATCTACAGAGAGACCACCTTTAAGGCACCTTCATTCCTTCCTATAGTATACATGTAGCAACAGAACTTGACTTTCCATCAAGAGTGACAAAATATGGCAAAATCATCAGTGTAAAAAGTGCTGAGATGGTGGGATGTACGAGACCTTGGATACAAAGGTAATATTTCCTGAAGTGATTTCACTGAATTAGTGCTGCATCCTATCACCTCATAGCTCTATGTCACAGTGTGATTGATGTTTCAAGGTGCAAGTCTGTTTACATCGGGTGAAACATTATCCATGTAGTATTCATGCCCTTGTTCATGTATGCTAGGGGGGTGGAAATGACCTGAATCTGTCATCTATACAATTTAAGTACCGGTACATGCGCTTGCTAGGGCGAATAGCCATGTGAATTTATGATTCTCTTCCAAGATCATGTTGCTGATAATCTTGGCTTCAAAATTACTTAAATTTTATGTTTTGCCTCCTGAACAAAGATGATAAAAGTAAACACCATCAAATATGTTCAATTCAGAATTAAGTCTCTCAAATTGCCAAAATGAAGAATGTTATGCATAAAATGTTCTATCAAATAGCTTAAAAATTTAAAAGACAATAAACAAATCAGTCAAGATGCAAAGTTTTGTCTTCCATTCCTGGAAGAGACATTCCATTCAAAAACTTGATTATTTCTGGGCGCTATTTCCAATGAATTTTCCCAAAACTTCCAGGGACCTATTAAAACCTTTAATCATAACACTTCAACAGAATTTTCATGACATTCGCCAGATTTTAAGCAGAAAGCCCTTCCATCTCTTCTCACCCATAATATTGTTTTAGGCAAGGAATACATGAACAAGATCAAGTGCTCAAGTCTATCAACCCATGAGCAAGCAAAATATGAAGTGTCAGAAAAAGTGACTTCCTGTGCCTTAGTTGCATACACAATGGCAGATTGCCAGAACTATGGGTGTCCCATATTGGCCTATCCTTCCCCTTGTCTTCCTGTCTCAAGTAAGCAAGTTTATTTCTCATCTTCTTCATTTTAAGTTTTATTTCTCATCACTGGTAGATTTAAAGGGGGGCACAGCAACCCTTTGCCCCCTTTTACCCCCTATCTAGAATTCCTTAAGCACACTGAAGGATTTCTCATCAGAAAATGTTCAGAATTATCATGGTGCCCTCCCCCCCCCCCCCCCCTCCCTTCCACAATTTTGTATAAAAAAAAAAACACTATCCTGAATCTTCTCTTTATATACTTAATCATACAGCATATTTCATAACATTGGCATCCTCTATAAGATTGAAGTCTTCCAATCCCATGTTTAAAATACTTCATAATAAACATTATCACCCACATGTACCCAGAGAATGGATATCCCAAGAAATAGCGGGAAGCTCTCTACCGGGTCCCTACTACCCATATAAGCAGATGATGGATAAGCCAAGTAAAGCCAGGGACCATCTGAAGATTTCATTCCCTAAAATTGAAATAGTCTGAATGCTCCCTACCCTCTCCACTAGGCTCTATCTTTGTATAGAAAAAATATATTATCCAGAAGGAAGAAGAGTAGCACTGAAGCTCATACATTGAGATAAAAGTGATTTTTGGAAAGGGAAATATTGTTTTACAAATTCTCATACCGGTAAGTGTTTTAAAAATCATAACTAATTGATAATATTTAAGACCTCCTAATGTCTTGCCAAGAGAACAAAAAAACCTTAACCTTAACAACTGAAGATTAACATGTAATTAAGGCTATTGTTACCCTAAAATGGGCTTGATCGAAGGCCAGATGAATCAATTACAGTTTACAGGTACGCAAATATCAATATATAGGCCAATAGAATGTTCAATCTGAAAAATAAAGAGGAATATGTAAAGTGCCTCAAATCTGGAGGTAATTTTCTAAGAATGTTTCAAGTTTTGAATGATAGTTGCAGGTATCAATGTTCTATAAGTCAGGGTCAAACACAATTTGGTTTCCCTGATAAGAAATGTTATATGAAGTGTGTTTCCTTTCAAGCGAGGCCTAATGACTCAAAACGGAAAAGTTTATTTAAGTTGGCTATTGAATGTAATTGTTTCAGCACGGACCTACAAATGATGATATCCATATTTTCTATTACATGTATGTGGTCATGATCTGAAAGGTAGAAGGAGCACTATCACCGAGTTTCAAAATAAGGCTTCTACATCTGTGTATACAAATGGATAACTTCATTGGCATACATGTTTGATACAAGCGAACCTGAAACAACTGTATAGTGCACTGAACTGCAATGTCAGTGTAAATTATTCTGGATATCGCGAATTCATTATCGAGCTCGCAATATGTATGATCTGGGTTTTGCTGATAAGAAGCATCACAGGAAATGATTGTACATTTCATGCTGAATTCTGGTGATGAGCTTTGCCAAAATACAGAGTCAACTATGGCAGAGCTTTCCAAGAGTAAAAGACCAGCAAAGAGGTATCCAAATTTCCCAAACAGTGATTTTGCATATTAAGAGTGAACCATCACAAAAATATGTATCTACCCTATAGGCCAAGAATACTCTATCACAGACAACACTCTAAATGCTCTATTAAAAAGTACTGCCCCCCCCCCACCCAGGTAAGAGCAAAATATTTTCTAACATTGTTTGTCACTGATCCAATACCTCTTTCTTTTACCTCTTGCTTCCCACACCCACAAATTCCAGACAAGTTTTTACCATGGCCAACTTTAAGCTAGAGTCTTGATCCAAAATCCTTTTATTCACCAAGGCAAGGTAAACACAATGTGGAGGTGAGAAATTTGATCCATGTTCCTTCAAAAAAAAAACTTGATTTACCTGAGATTGTCAAACCGAATCCTACTCCGGGCGCTCTCTCCAACTCAACAATGGAGTGTGCACGAACTTCCTCTGTGAGTTTTTTTTTTAAATAAAGAGAAAAGAAAAAAGAGATAAGGGGGAGAAAGAAAGTAAGCAAGAGCAAGCAAAAAATGATAGAACAGGAGAAAAAGAGGAAAAAAGAGGAAGAGGAGAGAGGGAAAGAGGAAGAGGAGAGAGGGAAGAGGAAGAGGAGAGAGGGGAAGAGAAAGAGAGAGGAGACCATAAGAGAGGGGGAAAATGAGACTTTGGTGGAATCAAAATCTGACTGGATGCCAATACACTGCTACATTTATACAAATTGCAAAACGTAATATTCAATAATTCATACAAATTGAAAATCTGAATTGAATTAAAATCTTATTTTCCCCTGCAGGCAATGTCACCCTGCAAGCACTTGCTTTTTATTTGAGATGAATGGGGTGGATCATTGAAAGAAATCAATACCCTATTTGATATAAATGAATTTCTCCCTGAATTTATCTCTCTCTAAATATACATGTTCCAAGTTTGCTTCTAGTTTCTTTGGCTTTAAATAACAAGTGATATTCTGATCTCTGACACAGGTAAAATGGACAGTTCATGTATAGGTACACTGATGACAGCAAAAACTGTTTTCAAGATTGAATTTACCAGACGGAGGATATCACAGAGACATAGCAATGTATGATATTAATGATACTAGAGCAGAAAAGGAAACATAGCATTGACTAGGCTCCATTATCCACCCACTTCGTTTAATTAATGCCTTGACAATGTTGTCAACGAGTCAACGAGTCTGTCATAGAATGACAAGAAATGGGTTCCTATGTCTGGCAAACCCTTTTTTTTTAAAGCTTTATTAGAAGCCCACATTCTTTATCCAAGCATAACAAGTAATTTTCCTGTACAACTATTTTGTTCATTGCAAAACAAACTCTACAAAACAAGGAAACAAAGTGTCCTGTCTGGCGAACCTTTTTGGAATAGCTATATTAGAAACCCATATTCCTTATGAAAGAATAAAAACAAGTAATTTTCCACTATAACCATTTCCTTCTTCTTATCTGTTTTACTCCTCCTTGTCGTTTCGTGGTTGTTTGTTGTTTTGTAATATTATCCTGTCTTCCAAGTCTTCATAGGCAAAATTTGAAACAATTGTATTTTTTTCTTTGGGATCCACAAACTACAAAGACTGCTTTTTAGTGGACCCCCCCCCCCCCCCCATTTCCTCAGAAGTTAAAAATTTCTTGTAATGATTGTATTATGTGCAAATGAATTATGTATGGGAAAAAAGTAATATCTTTATTTATCTTTCTGTGTGAAATGAAATAAGTATGAATTAAATTGAATTGAATTCTATGCAAAAATATACTTTACAAAAAAGAAAAGAAAGTGTACCTGGTATTGTAGAGGCCTCATTCTGTAATGCTATCTCCTGGGACGCTTTACTCTTACCCTTGCGACCGTCATCATCTGAAATGACAATAAAAGAGAAGAATACATGAGAATTATTACATCATAACAAAATGACATGTGCAAATTTGTAGTTTGAAAGATGGAAAAATATATACACATATCTTTTTAAAAGTCTGACAACAGTTTTCTTTAAAGGTGTATATATATACAAAAGTATAATAATATAACAATAAGTTCTTACACGCTACAAGTGAAGACATATTAACAGTACATCTTCATGTATCGTATGTCCAAGAAAGCACAGTTATCAGTGGCAACATTTGATTGCGGTCAGGTTTACCCTCAAGTCTTATATACCACACGAATGCATACCCAACATGATTGGCACATTCAATGCACTGATGTTTTCTTTTACTATTGTTAACGACAATACAAATGTCAGCAATAATTCACTAACGATTTCAATTTGGCAGAACAGCTTGAACCGTTACATTGATAAGCCATAGTAAAGCAAACATAAAAATACCAATGAATTATATATAGCTGGAATGGTAGATCTCTTTCTGCTTGCATACCGTGACGTCAGCTGGTTATTGTTTTTTTCATCTGGTAATCAAAACCAGCACATTATATCCTACATTAATGTGCTGTTTCTAAAATATATGAAAATAGACAACTTTATGAACTAGTAATTCAAATTAGGCAATCCAGAAGCCACATAATCCAAATTACAATATAACATCAATTTCATCAATTGAACTAAATATATTGAAAGATATTTTTAAACCAATTTTTCAAATTAAATATAAAGCTGAAGTTGACTGATTTATCCTCCATACAAGCAAAAATTTAAAAAGAAATTAGAATATAACAAAACATAACAAAACATAACAAAACAAAACAAAATGACAAAACACATATCAATTTTTCCTTTATAGGTATGATAAGGTCTCAAAGGTTTTTTTTGTTGTAATGACAAGCAATAAAAAAAGTTATAAATTTTGCCATTCAGCAGGGGGGTCATGAACTTGTGAAATACTAGGCAGAATTCATCCAGGTGTATGTGCCCGGCATTGGACACGCTACTCTACAGCAGAACTATACTGCGACCCTTTCCTATGTTCATGACCCTTTGGGTTAGTTCTTGGTTCAATGCATGATCAATCAAATTGTGTAAATTCTGACTTCCTGTCTCCTGTTATAAATACTGCATGAATAAGCGTGACTCTAAACCATTTGTATTGTATTGGTTCTTAAATACTACTAGTGCAATGGACATGTGTTTAGGCTTATATTAAACAGGTATATACCACTAACTGCAGTAATGAGGGGTAAGAGAGTCAAGGGGAAAAAGGGAACGTTTAAAAAGGATTTTAAATAATTTCTGTTATTATAACGGAAGATGATGATTAGACCGATTCAGTTTCATACTGTTATTTCAAGAGCTTTTCTAAAAGCTACATTAGGTAGCCATGAAAAATAAAGCCATTAGAAAGAACTTTGATTCAGATACAATAAAAGCTATCACTGACGTTTTATGCCGGTACCTAAAACTACTGGTCTAATACAATACAATCACTACTTCTATCTTGGCAATCACACTCTCTGTATTGAATAGTAAGACAGAGAAATCAGACTTTTAATAAAGATTTTAAAAAACCTTTCTCATGTAAGTTTTACACCTTTGATATAAAAACAGTGTGTACCTTTAAACTGAACACATCTAAATACAGATCAACTGTTTGTTATCTCTACAATGAGGTTTAATAAGAGTAACAATTCACACGGTGCCCCTCCTATTTACAAAATAAGCCTTTATCAATTGTGGAAAATAATTCATCCAAATCAAGAGGGTTAGCAGAGCAATGCAATTACGCTTCATATCAAATGTACCGATATACTGAACTGTACATCGTAAGATTGTACTCCAATGAAAGGTAGGAAAGTTCTGTTGACACAAACATCTTTCTATGATTCCAAATGTACAACCAGTTGCATTTTTCCTTTATAAACCATTTTCCATAATCACTACAAAGTCAAAAAATACATTTTTCCTGGTCATCCTTTTTGATGTTTGCTTCAAAGAGTGTTAGAATGTATTCATATTTTTCAATATGATAAACTTACCCCCCCCCCCCTCCCCCCCCCCCCCAAAAAAAATGTAACTTTGGTTGGACAAGAGATTTGTGCTATAATTACACTTTGAGTTTGTTTGTTTGTTTTTGTTCATTGTTTTTTATTTTTGTAATAGTGCATCTGCCTAGCAGCAAACCTCTGATCACTGTATTAAAACTAACATAATATCATCTGTTGAAACCCAGGAGTGTATAAAGTCTGCATTTAAGTACATGAGTGAATACCCCTCTGGTCCTCAGAAGATGATATAAATCATGAGTAATAAAAAGTAGAACATTCACAAGAATACCAACCTGCTCTACGAGATTTCGGGAAGCAGCTTGTCTTAGACATGACTCTCCCTGATCCTAGCTTTTAATAACCAAACAGATGCAATGCAGATCAGAAAGTATGCTTTCCTCAAAGTTCACTATCCCACAATTGAAAGTTAATAGTGGATGATCACAACCGAGATAGTGGCATCATTTATCTCTTAAATCAAGTTCTGTAACCTCTTCATTGTACAAAAATAGCAGCGTAGAGCAACTTCCAGATATTGAATACAAATCTACCGTTCGTTCGTGGTAGTGAAATTAAATTAACTGGAGAGTAATGCCAGCAACTGTTTCTGAGCCACTAAAGTGTCACCACAAGGTACAAATCACATGAAGCATTCAGATGTAATGCCACACATCGTCCCGCCCAGGTCAGATGAAGCTAGGTAGTACTATTAATCCAAAAGTTCACACGATACAAAATAAACGTTCCAGAACATGATTATATATATATATATATATATGTGTGGATCTATCTGTATTATTTTAGACCTGCCTGCCTGCATAGAGCACATGTAACGCCTCAGGGGTGAAGGATAGAAAGTGACTACTGTTTAATCAGTACAACCTGTCATAGGGATCGAGACAGGAGCTAGGGCAGAGAGAAACGAGAAACAAACTTCAATCATCCCTAATAAGAGAATTGGACAATAATTGTGACAAGGTTAACGCTGGCTACGAGTCATACCCTGGGAGGAAGTACACGTCTTATACCGGTGTGATTTTCTAAGGAGGGGGGTGGGGGGGGGGGGGCAGCTACAGCAAGCACTTTGGAGCCTCAGGAGTACCTTTATAGGATGTTATTAATTTATTATTAGCATTCAGCTAACATTTATGAACAATTCTTTCTTCTCATTTTATTTATTTATTAGCCTTTAGCAAACATTTATAAACAATTTTTTTTTCTCATTTTATTTATTTATTTATTATTTCATTTATTTTTTGTTTGTTTTGTTTTTTTTGTTTTGTTTGTTTGTTTTTTTTTTTTGTTTTTGTTTTTTTGGGGTTATGCCCTTTTCATTTTAAGTTTTACCATAATATTTTTTGTTGTTTTTGTTTTGAGGCCGCCATCCTTGTCAAGCTTCGCTTATGATTGCGGTCTACTGCACTTTTCCATCAGAATAATTCGGATAATACTTTAAATTCATGATAATATGTTATGGAAATATTAAGTTTCGTATATGTACATATATTATGTTAAAAAAAACTTTTTGACATGAAGACATTATTGTTTGTATATGTTGTATTATACCTTAATACATTTATATGTTCTTTGTTATTCAGTTATATTATATTTGGAAAAATGGTTCTTTCAAACTTGGCACAGATGCCACTATGACTACAGTTGTACAAAACATGTTTTCACGATTCTAAAAAAATCTTGCTTCTTAGATGTCATGTTGTCATGTGTTTGTAGAACATATATTTGGTACAGAGTGACCTATAATTATTTTAGGAATTGAGACATGGCATTAACGGATTAGAATTGCAGAGGATTATTAATTTGAGATTAACAGTTATCTAAGACTGAGGCAGAGTTAATTTGTAACTTACTCGTGCATAGATCTCAGGTCTCAGTTAGCATGTGACGGTGAGGCTGAATTTTAGTATAGCATGGCATAACATGATCAATATTTTAAAATAAGTTTTATCTGGTCGATGTACTAGATGTGCAAGATCTCAAGATATTAAATGGAATCTGGTCTAGATGTTTTTATAGGAAAGTCATGTGCAAACAGTGCAATCACTTCATCTCATGCAATCCATATTCAAAGCTGTCTGCCTAAAATGCAATGCAGATAGCAAAAAACTAAAACAAAACAAAGCACACAAAAAAATGTAATCAAAAAATAGGAATAGCGATTCGATTCACACAAGTTCAAATGGATCACAGTCAGTCCGCAACGCCCGCGATAATTAGGCAGAATGACCAAATTTATACAGCACCCGGAAGTGCGATAAACCGTCGTATTTCGTGTCCCGCGATTTGCGAGATTTCTCGAGACTTTTGCACAGGTCAACAAACTTTATCACAGCTGCTTTGTTTTTCACTGTGCTGCGTAGCATGTAGGGGTAAGTGAATCTCCATACTTTTCTACGTATTTTGATATGAAATTTTCCTAATTTTACCGCATCTGAGTGATTGTAAATATTCATTGAAATGTGTCCATATTTTCCTTCTTTCGTAGGAGGTATTCTGACATTATCTTGCATTTAGCGTGTTCCTGACCGATATAAGAGATGTTTTTCCCCAATTCTTCGATTTTTCACATCAACAATGTTGGCAGAAGTGAAAAAGCGCAGAGTTCGATTGATGCACGGTGTATTTTATTAGCTTTTATGGCCATGAAAGTTACACATTTTTCGATTTTCAACCGGAAGTTGTGTGACGGCTACGTTAAAAACACTCATTTTTGCCGATATGGCGCGAAAAGAGTACACATGGCCGCACTTTCGTAGTCATCACCGTGACCGCGTACCGGTCCCATACATAGCCTTTTCTGTACCGATCCGGCATAAAACAAAGCCATATCTGATCTGGGGCCCTCGACTTACAATTACATCATGCACTATCCCATTAAATTAGCAAGCTTTCTTGATAATATTTATGCTTAATCCATTTTATTTTGACACGAATTTAACAGTCAACTGTGAGAGTTAAACAGTGACTCTGGCGTCTGGTCAGACTAATTTAGGCCTTTATTAGGGATTCTCAAACTTTGGTTGTGCCTTTTGTTTTGGTTCTGGTCAACTCAAACTTTACAACCAGCCATAGAAATAAGCAGCATTTCCCTTGTGCGAGTAATGTGAACAAAGCAGAATTAAAACAAAAAGTTAAACACTTAATTTTAACTTGTGCACATGCGGAAAAAAGAAGGGAAAAATTCATGAATTTGACACCTGTAATTTGTTTTCATTACAAACAATTAATTTGAATGTGAGCGGGTTTTGTCTACCATAAATGGCTAGCTACTTTGATCAGATCTTTTAAAATACCTGAACTAAGCCATTTTATATTCCTTCTTATCATTTGTCATTTGCCAGGACCGAGCATACCAAGAACAGCTTCTATCCTTGTACCATTTCGCAATGGAATCATCAAAGAGTCAACATCGGCCAAGTCTTCCAATACCAAAATTTGGAGCTACATGCAGATTGACCACTCAGCGCAGCTGTACACAGGCAGGCTAGAGCGTTGATGTGGCTCTACTTCATCTAAAAATTAGATGATGTCTGCAACCCACTGTATTTTTATGAGCACCTTTTTATTTTGACTTTTGAACTCTGCACCCTCAGTTGTGATGTTTGTTGACATTTTGCGATGCCACAGAAGTCTGGACGTATACCAATTGGTTAGGTCCAGTACCACCTTAGATGTAGATGTAGATGTTGTTGTTTTTCTGACAGATGTACTCAACCATCGAAACTTGCGGGACATAGACAACAAATCTTCTAAGACACAGACTTCACACATCAGTCTCCATTGCATTCCTGGATCAGCATTTTCTGGACTTCGCATAGGAACAAACAATCTTGAAAGGGGAGTTTGGGAGAAGGACGAGGAGGATTTTGTTCAGCTTATTCTTTCAGTAAAAGGAAAATTCATTTCAAGTGATTACATTTTGTATCTCTGATACTTCGAAGGTGGGGTTCCGGAGCTTTACATGAACAAAGCATTTATTATAAATAATAAAAAAAACTGATTGAACTGTCACCGTTATACAATTTAAAGGTGTTTTACTCTGATAATACTTTTATTCTCAGCGACACATTTCGTCGCTGTTTTCACGAAGTGACGGTAGTGAAAAAAAATTGCATTCACTTTGCGTTACGATTTTCCTCATTACCGTCACTTCGTGAAAACAAGGACGAGCAAGTAATAGTCTCAAGTTCTCAACATACATGTCAAAGTCAGTTTATAAATAAAATATGAATATTATAAAATGGAAATTTTATTCCTAGTCCTATTTCATTTATAATTTTTTATCATTAGTAGTAGTGTTAATAATATATTTTTTGTTTAACCGGCTATGGTGATAATGATGACGGTGTTTACGATGACGATGGTGATGATCATGATGATGGCTATGGTGGTGACGGTGATTATGATGATGGTGATGGCGATGGTCATGATGGCTATGGTGATAATGCTGACGGTGATTATGATGATGGCGATGATCATGATGACAATTAATGGTGATAATGCTGACTGTGATGATGGTGATGGCTATAGTGATAATGCTGACAGTGATTATGATGATGATTATGATGATGATGATCGTGATGGCTATGGTGATAATGCTGATGGTGATTGCGATGATCATGGTGATGGTGATTATGATGATGGTGATGCTAATAATGGGGATCATGATGGTGGTGATGATGATAATGATTGTGATGGCGATGATGACGTTGATGATTGTGATAATGATGTTGAAGGTGAAAATTAGAATATTATTAATTTCGTTTGCACCCTTTCAACCCACCACACATTGAAATTTATATCCGATGGTCATTACCATATAAACAGAAACAGAAAATAAATGATCAGATATATATTTTGCGGGTCACTATAAACAAAATCAAACAGAAAAGCGAATAAGGGAAAGAATTTTGTAATTATTTTATTTCTAAAAATACACATGAACTGGAGTTACTTAAATTGACAAAAGAACCATCAAATAAAATATTACCATCAAAGAAAGCCTGGGGATTACCAAAATGAATTAATGTTTAAGGCTCTTGTCATTGATTAGTCCATGGTTTACAATTTAAATAAAAACACATTTCATAACTTTTACAACTAACCGCCTGCAATAAAACCATGAAATTTATCAGCAGGGATGGGAACAATCATATTTTCATTTTTCAATCACAATGCCGATCGCATCCCCAACCCCCCCCCCCCCCCCCCCCCGAAAGTTTGTATTTTCACAAATAAACATTTGAGAAAGAAAATGTGTCTTCTTTGTTAAAATTATATCAAAGCCTGGCCAAAAATAGCATAAAGACACTTAAACACTCCCCACTGTCCCCTATTCACTCTAGAGCTGGTATTCTATAGTGTACTTGATTGTACTTGAGTACGTATCCGCATCCAACTTGTACTCTCTGTAGACTTCTATTATTAAGTAGCGCATGAGTATAATACACAATAATAAGTATCTGGGGCAATACAAAAGCCTCTACGTCCGGGGGTTACGCACCCGAGAGCAATACGTAAATATCCCTAATCACCGTCTATTCTCCGTGCGTGTTTATGTACAGCGCACGGACACAGAACATCGATAATCGACGCAAAGCTAGATATAACGTAGTATCCCCCGGTCGGCAGGTGACGTCATACTCTGATGACCCACGCATATCGGCTGTGTCACCGCTGTTGAATATGTTGGAATGAACATGGTGTTGTATTTACCGTGTTCCTGACCGATATAAAGAACTAAAACAAAGGAAACAGTGATGGTTTGAAAGTTTGTATATTTATCATCACAATGAACCAAATTACTTTTTGATGCAGTAGCGTTTTCATATATTTTTTTAATGCTGCATATCGTTAAGTTGCTGTGTTTTTTAGACTGTTTTAAATGCTCTTTTTAAAGCATGTTAACGTTAAAAAAATATCTTAATGTTTTGTAAAGATGGATTATTTGGTCCATCTTCTTTACATTGGTACATAAATGAAACAAATCTACAGAGAAACATTGATGCAATCGTAATTTTCATGTACCAATGTTTTCTGCTTAATGTCCGGTTTTACCGTACATAGCTTGCATACGACTTGTATAAATACGTGCGAATTCGCGGGCGCTGCGGACTGACTGATCACTGATGAAAAATCCATCTACAATAAAATATCAAAATTGACAAGTCAACGCAAAGCGTAGCATCCCCTCGCAGGGTACAAATGGCCTATATAAGTCAGAACAAGTTACCTCCATTGGACTATACTACTATATTACTAGGCAAGGAAGTTAACCACCTTTTCACATATATAATTAGGTGTTTTTGCATAGTTAATGAGCTATGACCTTTCACCTTTCACCTACATACTAAGAAATCAAACTTAGGCTGTACACATATTTTGATACCATGTAACTTCATATCAAATTTCATTAAAATCCGTCAAACAATACTAAAGTTATGGATCGGAAACCAGATTCGCATATTTAATGAGCTATGACCTTTGACCTACGTACTTTAAAATCTAACTTAGCCTGTATTTTGTTGATATCATGTACCTTCATATCAAATTTCATTAAAATCTGTCAAACATTACTAAAGTTATCGATCGGAAACCAGATGTGTATTATTTTGCATATTTAATGAGCTATGACCTTTGACCTACGTACTCCAAAATCGAACTTAGCCTGTATTTTGATATCATGTACCTTCATATCAAATTTCATTAAAATCCGTCAAACATTATTGAAGTAATCGATCGGAAACCAAATTTGTTACGCACGCACGCACGGTACGACGCACAGCAGCGTTTCTACATGTATATCCCCTCCAACTTCGTCGGCGAAGGGATAATAAAGATGAGTCTCACTTTTACAAGTAAATACCAAAGGGGGAATGTGTTAACAAAACTAATAACTTTCCCCTGGTATAATAAGAGTGGCATATAGGCCTCTAAAACAAGAAACTTTAGCAACATGGAAGTTTTACACTTTGTTAATAAATAGACAACCATTTCCACAGCAAGAACCTTTTGTGCATTGCCAAAATTCATTGTTGTAATTCATTCATTTCGTGGAAAGAAAACTATTGAATTTTAGACCCCTCACAAAGTTTGAAAAAGTCTCTGGTTTACATTTACAGAATTTCCAGACTGCGTATATTTTTAAATAGTTAATTAAAAATATTCTACAGATACAATAGGCAACCTTCTCCAAAGAAATGAAATACGGTACTTTACTTTTTCAATATAGGGGCAGAAAATTTGTTTGGCCTAGAAGTTGGCATTATTTAGTTCTTATGCTTTAACCAAGAACAAGCATTCCACAGTACAAACCAATGGACCATTTAAAAAGTAAACTTTCTCCATGAATGGTGAAGAGAAAACCTCTGTACTTGTCAAAGTGATCCACAGAGGACCCACTGAACACCCCTGGAGGCCCCATGACCTCAGTGACCTTAATCTTGAGGATACTGGGGTCAGCATTGGCACAAGTGTTGACCTAAAATCCCAGGTCGTACAATAAATGCAAACTTTCGCTAACAATGGCTAGTCTGTCACATCAGACCCACACTTTGAGTTTGATGTACTTTGATCCATTGTAATGGATTCATGTTAATTCCCCGTGAAATGAAAAAATACACATTTAGGTCCAATAACAATAGTGGGTTCTTGTAAAGTGCCCATGTCTGTCAGACGTGACACTCCTGGCACTCCACAATTACTTAAAATGAATAAATAATGGACTGTTACTTTTTGCACATGTAAAACAATGTAATTTGGGGGGCTCAGCGTTGGACCATGTAATGAATTTCTAGATTGTCTTACAAGTTGATATCATCTCAGAGTTGCACAATATTTGTTTGGTAAGAATATTACTGCTGCAGATATGAAAGGGTCCTTTATCGGCGATATGAAAAGACTACATTTGTAAGTCAAGGGTGAGTGATATGATGAGAGATTTATTTATTTGAGCAGAACTTATACACTTAAGAGTGATTTGAAAGAGTTCTAAAGTCTTTTTTCACACTGTATTTTTCAGAGGAATGCAGAAAATGAAAAGAATGTTTGAAGTTTTGTGCACTGTCAATTTATATGAGTGCATTGAATAACAGATTGATAGCTACATGTACATAGTTTGTCAGTAAGCTTGCACAAAGAAGCCCAATACAATATATACATACACTTAGAATGTATATTTAAAACCCAAGTTATTATGCACTACACTAAAGCAAACTGTCCCTTCTACCAAAATGCTTTATTATAAACTTTTATCAAGCTTAGTGAAAAAAATTGCCTTTAATGATCCAACAAAGGAGAGTAAAGACCATAAAATAGTTATTTTCCGTTTCTCTTGTCTTTTCTTTGGGGCTGTATTCTGTAAATCTCCAGTGCAAAGAGCAGACTTTTGTCCAACCAAATTAACCTGTAAGCTCAAATATTTGCTAACAAGTGGATTATCCAAGTGGGTCAATTATCCAACCTTGTGGACCCTCAGGTTATTCTTACCTGCCAGGTTTTGCAAATTTGACGTCACAAATGCTACAAGTTCATAGCTGGATATGCAGTGATTGGTTTGAATTGAATTTACTGATACACAGCTATTGGCTTGATACTTTTATGACAGGGCTTTAGAAAGATGTTGAACCCCTTGATTGTGTACAATAGTGGGTGACATTAATAAACTACATATCAAATACACTCAAGCTGAGCTCCATGATGTTTTAAAAGGACTACAATAAAGCTTGGCAGAATAATGTTAAACCTTGTACAGAAAACTTTGATACTCATGTAGTAACATTGACAAAACAGATACCAGACCAACAATAGAATAAACACATGTACATTACCCCAATGCCCATGAATCGGTCAATCTGGAGTCAGTTTGGCGGTGCGACCGAGGTATAAAAAATACTACCTCCACGACTCTCATTTCAATAATTGTACTTGAGTTAAGCCAGCCTGAATTCTAAGTCTCCTTATTTTATGGTTCATTAGCCCTGATTCATTTTTAGTTTATTCATTTATTATTATCATTTGCTCCGATGTTGATTCAGATGATTTAGGGAGGAGATTTTCATTCATTCATTCATGCATCCTTTGAGATATAAAATGCTGCATTTCCTCTGATTTTGTTTGTAAAACCTCTTGAATGACATGCAAGGGGTCGAAAGTCAACAATACCATCTCTACACCATTTTTCAGCTCAACAATAGCTGATTATGAAAACAACTTTTCCAATGAATCAATGCATAATGCATTTCAATCA